ATGATGATGATGATGATGATGATGATGATGATGATGATGATGATGATGATGATAATGATGATGATGATGATGATGATGATCTTTTCCAAGGATCTCCTAACGAGATTCGAAACCACAAACTTACGGTTGCGAGTTTGGGAGTCTAATAGAGGGCTTAAATTTACCATCACCTTACACCGGTTTTTATGTTGTTGTGGTTTTTTCCCTGTTCATCGCGACCTTCTGGTTGGACCTTACGATTGTAATTATAGGCCTAATGGAATGCTTAAGTTTACTATGACCTTGCATTTAGTTTACTATGACCTTGCATTTAGTTTACTATGACCTTGCATTTGTTTCTATTATTTTTCTTTCTGTTTACCAGCTATGATTGGTGACAGGGGAGACAAACCTGTGAGGAACCTGATCACAGAGCTGGGTGGCTGGCCAGTGATCGATGACCAGTGGTCAAGCAGTGGGTTTGTCCTGGAGGACATGCTGTCCAAGATCCGCGGGAAGTACGAGGCTCCTTACCTCTTCAACATCGGCGTGGGCGCGGACGATAAGAACTCTACTGCAAATATAATTCAGGTGGGCTGTGGAAGAATGAGGAGTGTGGGAGAATGTGGGATATTTGAGATTGTGGGATGTGGGAGAATGTTGATTGAGGGAGAATGTTGGATTTCTTAGAATGTGGGACGTTGGAAAATGTGTGAAATGGGGGAATAAGTGGAGTTTTAGAATGTGTGATATGGGAGAATGTGTGGTTTTGGAGAATCTGGGTTGTGGGAGAAGGGCATTTGTGGGAGATTGTGGGGTGTTGGAGTATGTGGGTTGTGGGGAAATGTGGGGTGTTGCAGAATGTGGAGGTGGCGGAGAATGTCGATTATGGAAGAATGTTGGATTTGGTGAATGTATGATATGGGAAAATATGGGGTTTGGGAGAATCTGGGTTGTGGGAGAAGTGCATTTGTGGGATAATGTGGTGAGTATGTAGGTTGTGGGGGAATGCGTGGTGTGGGACAAAGTGGGGTGTTTCAGAATGTGAGGTGTTGGAGATTGTGAGGTGTTGTAAAAATGTTGGATTTGGGAGAATGTGCGAGGTTAGAGTGGGATGTTGGGGAATGTGGGTTGTGGGAGAAGGTGGGGTGTTAGAGAATGTATGGTGTGGGGGATGAAAGATGTGGAAGAATGTGGGGTGTGGGGGATGAAGGATGTGGGAAAATGTGGGATATGGGAGAAGGTGTTTCGTGGGAGGATGTGGAATGTTGAACAATGTGGGTTTGTTGGACCCACCATCATCATGATCCTCACCATTATTAAAACCATAGGTCAAATTCTATTTAGTATTATAATTATTATCATTGTTTATAATTGTTATTATAATTTGAACCGCTCCCACACCAATCACTATCATTATCATTGTCATCATCTCGTCATCATCAATTTTCTTG